TAGTGCTTTGATTATTATAGCTTTGCTATATAATTGTAAATCAGGAAGTGTGATGTCTACAGCTATTTTTTGCCCTCTTCAGAATTACTTTAGCCATTGGAGGTCTTATTATATAATTTTTTGCTTTAGGTTGTGTGGACATTTTAGCCATATTAATTCTTCTGATCCATGAGCATAAAAAATCATATGTATTCCTATTAGTTAATATTGTTTCTTTCTACTTCAAGAACTCCTGTAAGCCTTTCTTATAAGGCAGGACTACTGGTAATGAGTTCTTTTCTAGAAAATACTTTATTTCTTCATTTCTGAAGGGTAATTTTATTGAATACAGCATTCTTAGCCCACAGTTATTTTCTTTTATCACTTTTACTTTATCATCCCATTCTCCCCTAGCCTGCAAGGTTTCTGTTGAGAAATCTACCAATAGTCCAATAGAGATTTTCTTATGTGATTTGATGCTTTTCTCTTGCTGCTTTTGAAATTCTCTGACTTTGTTGATTTAATTATGATATGCTGTGGAGTGGACTCTTTGAGTTGAATCTGGGAACTTTTTTAAAGATTTATTTATTTATTTGAAAGAGTTACAGAGAGGCAGAGGCAGAGAGAGAGAGAGAGAGAAAGAAAGGGGTCCTCCCTCTGCTGGTTCACTCCCTAGATGGCCACAACTCGTGGAGCTGCACCAGTCCGAAGCCAGGAGCTAGGAGCAGTCTCCTGGTCTCCCACGCAGGTACAAGGGGCCATAGCAGAGAGCTGGATCAGAAGTGGAGCAGCAGGGACTTGAACTGGTGCCCACATGGGATGCCAGCTCTGCAAGTGGCAGTTTCACCCAACACGCCACAGTGCTGGCCCCTGGGAACTTTTGAGTTTCATGGATCTGATATTCATGTCCCTTCTATGACTTAGGAAGTTTTCAGCAATTATTTCATTAACATACTTTCTGTCACTATTTTTGTTTCTTCTCCTTTTGAAACTCCACCAATGTGAAAGTTTGTTTGCTTTGTGGTGTCACATAAGTTCCATAGGCTGTCCTTATTCTTTTTCATTGCTTAGTTTTTGTTTCCTCTGAGTTGGTAATTCTTTTTTAAGATCTATTATACTTGACAGAGTTACAGAGAGAGAGAGAGAGAGAGAAAGGAGGGAGGTAGGTCTTCCATCTGCTGGTTCACTCCCCATATGGTTGCAATAGCCAGAGCTGCACTTATCTGAAACCAGGAGCCAGGAGCTTCTTCCGGGTCTCTCACACAGGTGCAAGGGCCCAAGGACTTGGGCCATCTTCCACTGCTTTCCCAGCCCATAGCAGAGAGCTGGATCAAAAGTAGAGCAGCCTGGACTTGAACTGGAGTCCATATGGAATGCTGCACTGCAGGCTGGGACTTTAACCCACTGGGCCACAGCGCCGGCCTCTCTCTTTTTTTTTTTTTTTAAAGATTTATTTATTTATTTGAAAGGCCAATTTACAGAGAGGCAGAGGCAGAGAGAGAGGGAGGGAGAGGGAGGGAAAAAGAGGGAGGAAGAGGTCTTCTATTTGCTGGTTCACTCCCCAAATGGCTGCAACTGCTGGAGCTGTGCCAGTCTGAAGCCAGGAACCTGGAATTTCTTCTGGGTCTCCCACACAAGTGCAGACTTGGGCCATCTTCTCCTGCTTTCCCAGGCCATAGCAGAGAGCTAGATTGGAAGTGGAGCAGCCGGGACTCTATAACTGGCTCCCATATGGGATGCTGGCACTGCAGGCCCACTGAGTTGGTAATTTCTAAAGACTTGTCTTCAAGTTCAGAGACTCTTCTGCTTGTTCTAGTCTGTTGATAGAGTTCTGTGTTGTATCTTTAATTTTATTCATTGAATTCTTCATCTCCAAAGTATTGTTTGGTTCCTTTTATATCTCCGTTGAATTTCTCATTCAGATCATAATTTGTTTTCCTGATTTTGTTGAATGTCTATATTATTTATATATTATTGTTTCCTTAAGATCTTTGTTTTGAATTCCTTTTCATGCATTTTATAAATTTTTTGTTTCTTTGGGCTCAGTTACTGGATAATTTATGTTTCTGGGCAATGTCATGTGTTCTACCTTTTTCGTGTTTATTGTGTTCCTGTATTAAGATCTGTGCATCTGGGAGAGCAATACCTCTTCCAGACTTTACAGAGTGACTTCTGTAGAGAAGTAGTTTCCCCTGAGAAGGGTCTTGGTGTGGCTGTTGAGAAGGCTGTGGCAGTTGTAGTCCAAGGAGATGCAGTGGCATAGTTGCCATGCAGCATCTTCCGTTAGTCCTGACATCAGTGACGACTGTGGGTGCCTCAGTGGCATAGGCTGTAGGAGTTTGTAGAAGTGGAGATAGCAGTGTAAATTGTCTCTCATTTTTCTCACAACAAGGAGTTGTAGTTGAGGGGATCCCTCCTTTTGTTGGATCTGACATGGCTCACAAGCAGCTACAGCAGCACTGGGGTCCATGTCTTGCGTGCTGACAGTGGCTGTACAGCTGACATCCTTGGCTTAGGGTCTCCTGAACCTATTGTGACACCTGGTTTGAGCATGCAGGTTCACTTTGTGAGGCAGGATTGGATGCAGATGGCCCACAAAACCAAATTATGTGACTCTGACGCCACCCCCTGGAGCTCATTGTCAGGGGGCTGGGTTGTAGTTGTGACCCTGAGCTTGTGTGGCAAAGCACAACTCTGGTCCTGCTCCAGGGAGTGAGGGTGCTCTGGGGGTTTGGGCCTGAGGAGCAGGGTACAGCTGTCATTTAGGAACCACAGTCAGTAGGGCATAGTGGCAATTCAGGCCCCAGGAGACGATGTGCTGTCTGGTGGTGATTCTGGACTCTGGGATGGTTGAACGTAGATCAGTATATCAGATCTGTGAGCCAGATGCAGAAGCAACAATGGTCTCGTGATGGTGGAGAACAGCTATTGCTTGGGCTCTGGGTCCCAGGGGCCAGCCCCGTTGTTTGGCCTGTAGGCAGGGTGTCTTAGCTGAGCCAGTGCTTTGTTCTCCTGTTAGACCAGTCAGCTGCTCGTCCCAGCCAAGGCAGCTGTTCTCCAGGAGGTGATGTACATGGTAGTGTACTGCTTTGGGAAGAAGTACTGGTTCCCTAGAAGGCAGGGAGCTGCTGCGGTTGAGGCACGGGGGGCATGGTTCTCTGGGTAGGCAAGTAATCTGTTCCCTAGAAGGCGGTGTGCTCAGCTCAGGTACTCAGGGGCGGGTGCAGCAGTGAGTGAGAGGGGTGAACGGAGCAGCTAAGTCAGCTTGGCTGTATGGGGTAGGACAAAGCAGCAACTCAGCAACTGCAGATGGTCAGTCATCAGACAGGTGCAGTTCAACAGCAACAAAGCCTCAGGGATTGAAAGGGTGCTGTGGCTACTCAGCCCTGGAAATGACCTCACCCATCAGTGTTTCCAGTTTTGATTGCATAGCTGAATATCTGTGTGGGCCACAAGGGGCAGACCAGTGTCAGATTCTTCTCTGTGGGAAGTGCAGCTATATGGATTCCAGGCAGCCTCCTAAGTTGGGCTTAGCACCAGCGAAAACTGTAGGAGTCCCTGGTAGTGAGGCCTGTAGGTATCTAGGGTATTGATGGGGACTGCTGGGGTCCTTTTTTTTAGCTTTTCCCCAGAGGGAGAAGTCCCTCTGTTTGTAAACTCATCAGAGCTTGGCGATAGGGTGATGAAAGTGAGGTTTTTCCTGCTCTTCTGGTTTTCTGTGCTCTGTAAGAAGGTTTCTGTTATTCCTTATTTTTTTTAAGGTTTATTTTATTTATTTGAAAGACAGTTACAGAGAGAGGTAGAGACAGAGAGAGATGTCTTCCATCTGCTGGTTCACTCCCCAGATGGCCGCAATGGCCGGAGCTGTGCTGATCCAAAGCCGGGAGCCAGGAGCTTCTTCTGGGTCTCCCACACGGGTGCAGGGGCCCAAGGACTTGGTTCATCCTCCACTGCTTTCCCAGGCCATAGCAGAGAGCTGGATTGGAAGAGGAGCAGCCAGGACTAGAACCAGCACCCATATGGGATGCCGGCACTTCAGGCAAGGGTGTTAACCTGCTGTGCCACAGTGCCAGCCTCTATTCCTTATTTTTTTTTAAAAAAGATTTATTTATTTATTTTGAAAGGTAGACTTACAGAGACAGAGAGAGACAGACACAGAGAAAGAGAGAGAGAATATCTTCCATCCACTGGTTCACTCCCTAAATGGCTGCAATGGCCAGGGCTGGGACAGGGCGAAAACAGGAGCTTCTTCTGGATCCCCCACATGGGTGCAGGGGCCCAAGCACTTGACCCATCTTTTACTGTTTTCCCAGGTGCATTAGCAGGGAGCTGGATTGGAAGTGGAACAGCCGGGTCTTGAACCAGCACCCATACGGGATGCCAGTGTTGCACCGGCCCCTCTGCTGTTCCTTTTATATGCTCCAGCACTTGCCTTCAGTTATTTTCATAAAAATTTGAGGGGGTGTACAAATGCTAAGGGCTTCTAGTTAGTCATCTTGCTGATGTCATACTCTGGCACTGAGTTTTTGAAAAAGAGGAGGCAGGGGCGGCACTGTGGCATAGTGGGCTAACCTCTGCATACAGTGCCAGCATCCTATATGGTGCCAGTTCCTTCCTGGCTGCTCCTCTTCTGATCTAGCTCACTGCTATGGCCTGGGAAAGCAGTAGAATATGAGCCAAGTCCTTGGGCCCCTGTACTCGTGTGGGAGACCTGGAAGAAGCTCCTGGCTCCTGGCTTTGGATCAGCCCAGCTCTGACCATTGCGCCCATTTGGGAGTGAACCAGTGATGGAAGACCTTTCTCTCTGTCTCTCCCTTTGTCTGTAACTCTACTTCTCAAATAAATAAATAAATCTTTAAAAAGAATAAAAAAGAGGAGACAAATTAACAAAAGCAACAAAATCCATGTTCCATATTCATAAGTATAGCCTCTCCATCCCCCAAAGCTAACTTCACATTGAACAGGAATTTGCCCTTGCAGGGATCAGTGTCCTTCAGGGATGTGGCTATTGATTTCAGCAGTGAGGAATGGCAGCACCTGGAACCTGCTCAGAGAAGTCTCTACTGGGATGTGATGCAGGAGACCTTCAGCCACCTGCTCTCAGTAGGTAAGCGGTCACCTTGGTATCTGAAAGGAGGCCTCACTGGGATGTTACAGGTTTTCTTGATGAATGCTGTAAGACACTTTCAGTATATGATAGTTCTGTCCTTAATTTGTCCAGGATTCTTGTCCCTTTTATAATTTTTGATAATATTCTGTTCAGACAGAAATAATTACTTTTCTGAAGAATAAGCCCTCATTACACAGCTGGACTTCATTTAATTAGCTGGACTCAGTCTTTTTATCATTTCCCGCAAACAGGGTTTCAAGTTCCTGAGCCAGAAGTTTTCATGTTGGAGCAAGGAGAAGAGCCATGGGAATTGCAGAGTAAGAACCCAAGTCAGTTCTGTCCAGGTGAGTGAGGGAGACAGGGGAATAGATCTCAGCTGTTATTAGGTAGACTGGCACCTTTGAAATAGTGTTGAGATTTAAGACTCTTCTGGAAGGTTCTTAATTTTTGTACTGCTTGAAAACTGTTGATAATTTACCACTAAGGTAACTAAATATCTTCTACTTAGATGACATCTATCATCTCTGTCTTCTCTAGGTTTTTGGATTCTAGGCCATGTGCCAAAGATTAAAGATTTTTCTTGAGTATTCCCATAATTCTAGAGTCTTTTCTTTTTACATTCAAGCATTCATGGGTCTGCTTTCTTGTAAAATTACAATATGGTACATACTACAATTCCTATGAATTGCTTTTTTTTTTTTTTTTTTTTCCGTGAGATACCTCAGAACCTTATATCTAACCAGGCTGTATTCCTGTTTTCTCCCCAGAGATCACTGAATTCTCAATTTCCTATGCATTTTATCCAACCGATGACTTTATCATTGGCATTTAACCTGGGAAGGGTACCCTTCTGCTGTGTTTGACAGTATTAATCACCTTTCCTAAAATTTCTTACTAATGTTGCTTGAGTGATTGTATACTGACTAGGGTCTCTGCCTAGTTAACTGATTAGTTTTGTTTTTTTGCTTTGCTTTTCTTCTTCACCTGCTGAGGCATGAGTTTAATCATAATCCTTAGTTTAGGATTCATCATTATGAGTCCAGATGAAGTTTCTCTTTTATTTTATTCTTTGACTTACTGTCTTTTGTCTCTTATCCCCACATCTGTCTTTCCCACCATAGGTCACTATTTTATATGATGGAAACATTTGAAAATTCATGCATATTATAAAATATAAAGTGAGTTAGGGATATATATTAAATTAGGCTATATAAATGGCATTGTTTCATATATCTTGTTCTTTGCCTTACTTTTCCCATACTTGGCTATAGTACAGTCTGTTCATCTAGTTTATTTCCTCTAACTATTGAATTCTGTCCCAGAATATTTCCTGTTCACACTGTCACCAATCTCATAAATTATTCTCTTTCATCCTTTTCTCTGTGTTCAACCTGGACTAGCCCTATCTACCCTTCTTTCTAGCTTCTTTCAGCTGTTCCTTAAAGTAAAATCACCTGTATTTTCTTTCAGAAGGAGAATTTGGGTTTCAAACCTTAAGCAGGGAATTTCAATAAAAGCTTTCTACCTCAAGAGGGAAGGTGATGGTACCAGTGATACTGTGTATATATCATTCTATAGAAGTGTTATGGTAGATTGGTGACCACATAAGAGAGCTATCAGCAAAGAGCATTAAGAGATGTTGAGATTTCATCAAAAAATATTGACTACCAAAAAAATCTTTATGAATATAAGAATATTAAGAAGCAGTTCATTTGAGCCCAGGCATTATTCTTTTCCCCCAAGGACCTCATCAATGCAACTCATTTGGAAATAATTTGAAGCATAATTTAGACTTACACAGTTATAATAGAAATAATGCATCAAAGAATGTTAAAGAGATTGCCAGATATGGTAAAATTTCTTCCTATACTGACCATGAGTATACTCCAACAGGAGAGAAATTATGGGACCATAAGCAACATGGAACACTCCTCAGTTATAAACGAGCATCCTCTCAATATCAGAAAATTCGTACAGGGGAGAAATCATATGAATGTGACGAATTTGGAAAGAGCTTTGCTGAGAAATCATTGTTCAAAGTACATCTGAAAGTTCATACAGGAAAAAAGCTCTATGTATGTATTGAATGTGGGAAAGCTTTTGTACAGAAGCCAGAATTCATGACACATCAACAAAACCATACTAGAGAAAAGCCTTATAAATGCAATGAATGCGGAAAATCCTTTTTCCAAGTATCTTCTCTCTTTAGGCATCAGAGAATTCATACTGGAGAAAAACTGTATGAATGCAGTGAATGTGGGAAAGGCTTCTCTTATAATTCAGATCTCATTATACATCAGAAAATTCATACAGGAGAGAGACACCATGAATGCAGTGACTGTGGCAAAGCTTTCACGCAAAAGTCCACACTCAAGATGCATCAGAAAATTCATACAGGTGAGAGATCCTATATATGTATTGAATGTGGACAAGCCTTCATCCAGAAGACACACTTGATTGCACACCGAAGAATTCATACTGGAGAAAAACCATATGGATGCAATAACTGTGGAAAATCTTTCATCTCTAAGTCACAACTGCAGGTACATCAACGAATTCACACAAGAGTCAAGTCTTATTTATGCACTGAATATGGGAAAGTCTTCAATAATAGTTCCAACCTTATTTCACCGAAGAAAGTGCAGATTAGAGAGAAATCTTCTATATGTACTGAATGTGGGAAGGCCTTTACCTACAAGTCAGAACTAATTATACATCAGAGAATTCACACTGGAGAGAAACCTTATGAATGCAGTGACTGTGGAAAAGCTTTTACTCAGAAGTCAGCACTCACAGTGCATAAGAGAATTCATACAGGAGAAAAATCCTATGTTTGCATGCAGTGTGGGCTGGCCTTCATCCGGAAGACACACTTGATTGCACATCAAATAATTCATACTGGAGAGAAACCTTATAAATGTGGTCACTGTGGGAAATTCTTTACTTCCAAATCACAACTCCATGTGCATAAACGAATTCACACAGGAGAGAAACCCTACGTGTGCAATAAATGTGGGAAGGCATTCACCAACAGGTCAAACCTGGTTACACATCAGAAAACTCATACAGGAGAGAAATCCTACATGTGTTCTAAGTGTGGAAAGGCCTTCACTCAGAGATCAGACTTGATTACTCACCAGCGAATCCACACTGGAGAGAAACCTTATGAATGTAGTACCTGCGGAAAAACCTTCACCCAGAAGTCACACCTTAATATACACCAGAAAATTCATACTGGAGAGAGACAGTATGCATGTCATGAATGTGGGAAAGCCTTCAATCAAAAATCAATACTCATCGTGCATCAGAAGATTCATACAGGAGAGAAACCCTATGTATGCAGTGAGTGTGGAAGAGCCTTCATTCGAAAGTCAAACTTTGTTACTCATCAAAGAATTCACACTGGAGAGAAGCCTTATGAATGCAGTGATTGTGGGAAATCATTTACTTCCAAGTCTCAGCTGCTGGTGCATCAGCCAATTCACACAGGAGAGAAGCCCTATGTGTGTGCTGAATGTGGGAAAGCCTTTAGTGGAAGGTCAAATCTCAGTAAACATCAGAAAACTCATACTGGAGAAAAGCCCTACATCTGTTCTGAATGTGGGAAGACCTTCAGACAAAAGTCAGAGTTGATTACGCATCACAGAATTCATACTGGAGAGAAACCTTATGAATGCACTGACTGTGGGAAATCTTTCACTAAGAAATCACAGCTTCAAGTGCATCAGCGAATTCACACAGGAGAGAAGCCTTATGTGTGTGCTGAGTGTGGGAAGGCATTCACTGACAGGTCAAACTTGAATAAACATCAAACAACACACACAGGTGACAAACCCTACAAGTGTGCAGTCTGTGGAAAAGGCTTTGTGCAGAAATCAGTGCTCAGTGTGCATCAGAGTATTCACACTTGAGATAGAGTGAAAAAAAAAAACTCAGTGAAGACACTGATTGTACAGTGTTGAATCCATCCAATAGAATACTATGTGATTATTAAGTAGAAATATCCACACCATCAGTGTCACACTTGAAATGAAGACTTTGAAGAAGGCACTGAAGTAAATGGGACTTCCAACTCATTGCTGTCAGCCTCATTAAACCTGGGGCATTCATGTTGAGAAGGAACTGAGTCAATTTGATGTCTTAGAATACATCATGGAATAATGTTTAAAATATCATGGATTACTGTTAGCAAATTATTTTAGGGAAGATCATGTTAAATCCTGTTAATGATAATGTGTTTGCTGTGGAATAGGTGCAGTTCAACAAATTGGTAAAACAACTAATACTCGTCAATACCATAATGATAATTTTAAATTCTGTGAGTAGTTTGATGCAGAACACATTGTCTAACAGTTGTGGGTGTTTTTCATTCTTTTGTTAACACATTTGTGTATGTCTGTTCTATCATTGAGTAATTCTTTGAAGGAAAAGTGTATAATTTTTTTTAAAAAACCTATTTATATACATGGGAAGCTGACAGTATATTTTCAACTTGTAATCTCCCTTATTACCCACCAGTAGTGTCTTTGAGTTTCATAAGAACAAATGTTAAAACACAAACATACCGTAACTACCTGCTCTAGGTTCATCTTCATGCTATACATACTTAAGGACCTGTTCTGCCAAGTGCCTCAAACACATCAGTTTAGTTCCTGCCTCAGGGCCTTGGCATTTGCAATGCCTACAAAAGGAGCAGAGTTTATGATTATATCTGTGTGGTTTCTATCTCATATCTTGTCTGCAATGAAAAGTTCTCAAAGTCCTTTGCTACCCATCCCTACCAGGCTAGTTCAAAAGTGTAGGTCTTCAACTGTCCTCCTTTGTGATGTTCCATACATTAAGCATGGAATTTAATCCCTCTTGTTCCACCTGCCCTCTTGGGATGCCACTCTAGGTGGGCCCATGTGACCACTGAGGTATCTTGTACTTTAGTAGCTCTCTTGTCAATATTTCCCTAAATGTGCTTCTCCTAACCTGGGACCCGTGGTGGGCCTGACTGAGGGTCAGTGAGTTCACAGTTGACTCTTTCACATTTGGACACAGTGGTCTGCAGTTCCTACACAGGCCACATCCTGTCTTAACTGGTTTCATCTCAGCCATCATTTGACCTACCTACTTCCCACCCAGGCTATCTGGTGTTTGTATTTGGTCCCAAGGGGAGTTCACTGTGGCTGAATCAAGCCCAAAGCACTAAGCAAACCAGGCATCTCATTGATGCGAACATAAGGGCAAGTTGGGGCCAGCCCTTCATCTGATCCTTGCAGATTGCAACCTTGACTCCTGCCCAGCCTCCAGGGTTCCAAGCTGGCCTTACCACAGCACGTACATGCAATCCAGACCCTCCTGATGCTGTGGTCTTAGTGATCTGTGTACTTACCTAACACACTGTCCCTGCACCACACCTGAGTGCATCCTTGTATCCTCAGGTGGTTCCAAGGGATGGTGCTAGCCTTCCAGGAACCCAGGAGGTCACAGCTGGTGAAGAAGTAGCACCTGTTGACTCTGGATCACTGAGGGACCTCAAATTTCCTGCTTCATGGAGGGCATGTGGCTCTCCCTGAAGGGAATGTGCCCTGTCACCCAGAGGAGGGGACCCCTCCCCCCAACATGCTTGTGCCTAGCTTTCTTTTCTAGGGAATCGGGGCTGGCATACTGCCCCATAGTATGATTGGCTTTGATTAGGGTGACTGAGCCCTTTGCCCAGTTTGCCTCATTCCTGGATATATTGTACCAGTGTATGTACTTTTCTTTGCATGGCAGGATGTGTTTTTGTTTTGGGTCTCGCGTGGATCTGCTAGGGATAGTGATTTGGGTGGTTGCCTGGGAGTATAGGGGCAGCAAGCTGAAAGAACTCAGCACCAGTGTCCCAACCCCAGCCACACAACCTTGCCAGCGAGCTCTGTTTAGATCTATAGAAGATCAGCACAGATCAAAGGAGGTTCTCTTGATACTGCTCCCATCCTCCCTGTGAAAGGTAACATTAAGTCTGACCATAACAGCGTGATCAAGAGGAGAGGAACCTGAGGGAGGAGATGGTCACTTCAAATGGGGACACGCTACAGCCATTTGGGCAGCTTCCCGCTGTCAGTACCAGATCCAGCTGCCCCCTGGGGAGTGATTCTCCTCTGACTTCTACCCTTTACTGGGTGCTCCATCATTCCTATCTTTAACATGCGGAGTGGGACTTGATTTTTTCCTAGGTAACTCTTGAATATGATGGGTTTCTCAGTTACTCAAGGACAAATGCTTGGAGGTTCCAGTTCATGTGCCTTTCTTTTTCCATGCATACTTCATAATGGCTGTGCAGGGTGGGGATTACCATGGAGTTCTGGGTTTCCCTGTGTATGTCCTGCACTCACTGCTAGCTCTTGGTCTCAGTGCCCTATCAGAAGGAAGCTCTTCGTGACTCACGGGGGATGGAATGTTCACACGTGTGAGCAGCCTTCATCTTGTCAGGGACCGTGTCTTTCTTTCATTTCTAATTTCCTTTTAAATTGGAGTGATACCTAGTACCGGCTTGCCTGTGTGTGACTGCCTCCCCGCACTTAATGTTCTGGCTTCCAGTGTTTTCACTGAGAAAATAGGACTGGGAGGCTGGGTGAGTGGAAATGGGATGGTGGCCGTGCAAGGTGAAGGTCCGGTGGTCCTTCGAGAGGCCTATCCCCTTTGTAGCATTCCAGTAACTCGGTTTGGCCTTAAGCACAGCTTCTGTTGCGGCTCCAGGTTATGATTTTGGCTCTTCTTGGCCCAAGAGGCTGTCCTCTCAAGGGTCCAGGAAACACCACTTAGGGTCACTATCAGTCTGAATCCCACTCTTGCTCTGATCACTCCCATTCCCACCCCCGGGATCCCAGTTGTATGTGTGGCCCATCTGACAATGGCAATACTTTAGACTTTGAGGCACTTACATCAACATTTTCACCAAGGCGATTCATGGAATGAGTGGCCCCCGGGGTTTGCACAGCTGGCCCCTGCTAGGCCCAGGTCTAAGGGGGCACTGGGCCCAGAGTGAGTGAATATTCACTGCGTTTTGGACACAGAAGTCCTTGTCCTGGGCAGGCCCACTGCCGCCTTAGGCGATTTCGCGGCCGGGATTCTACCCAGTTCCACCCAGCCTCTGCATCCAAAACCAGAGTAGTCTACCGAGCCCATCTCACGCCCTGAATCACGAAGCAGTGTAGGTGTCTGGGGGATGGGACTGTGATGAACTGTCTTGGGGCCGGCAGCAGCAGCCCCAGCGTCCAGGATGCCAATCCGGCCCTGCCACTGCGCATGCGTGCGCGTTGCGCTGACGTCACAATGAACTCGGCGCTTGCTTGGAGCTATTTCCTGGAGGTTGGGTGGAAGAGCGGATTAAGTGCCCTCCCTGCCTCTTCGCACCCCTGTGCTTTCTGGCCTCCTCGCACCTCCGAAGGGTACAGTGCGGGAATCCCAGGAGTTCAGGAGAACAGATCATTTGGAAGCCGCGGCGTGGTTCGTCGGTCGGCTGCACCATCCCAGCTTCAGGTGTGTGGTGTATCCGTTGCGTGACAGGGTGTGGGTTTTTCAATTTTCAGTTGTACAGGTATTTTGGGGTCTTGAGTTGGGTGGTTGTCCCGGACAGCGGGGAGCAACTAGCGGAAGGAACTCGGTAGCCATGCGCAACCAAACAAATCTTCCAGGAAGCTGCGTTTAAATCCGTGGAAGAGGAGTACACAGTTGCTGGTGATACAACTCCTGCTCTTCCTTTAAAAGGTTCTGAGAAACCCCATCACAGCTCCGTGACGAACAAGGGGAGAGGAATTCGCAAGGCCCTTCACTTGTTACCGATTTTCGTCAGGGCGGTCAGCTAGCCCACTTCCCACGCAGGCCGTCCGCAGCAGAGTCTCCTGGCAGTGAGCGAGCAAGGCGTCTGGTTGAACGGAACGCGAAGGCGAGGCCGGGGCTGGCCCGCCTCATCCGTGCAGGTGGCAGCACTCATTTCCCATCAGGCAGCAGCGGCCCGGCATTCCAGGACCTGCCACAGCGCATGCGTTCGCCTCAAGCCTGGTGCTGACGTCACAGTGAGCCGGCTTCGGCCTGCGGCAGCTTGCCAGCAGTGGGGAGGATCTGGTCGCCATGTCTTCCCGTGCACCCTGCCAGCTCCTTCAGGCCTGTCTCCACGTGTGGTTCTAGAGTGACGGTGCCGGAGTCGCGGGAGTTCAGGGGGCAGCCAGAGAAGCGGCTTTGGTAGCAAGTGGCGGACTGCAGGATCCCAGCGTATTACCATCCCCTCAGGGGAATCCGCCCGTTCACCTCGGGAAGGTACTGCCGGTGCTTGTGAGTTGCCCTGTTCTTAACCATAGGGTCGTAGGTACTGGGGCAGAGCCCTGTAGCTTGGGATGCATCTTTGTACGAGGATTTGTGAATGGACTGAGCACCCGTCTAGCTATCTGGGTGTTTTGTGGCCAGATGTGGTTGGTTTTTTCTTTTTTCGGTTGGGTTTGTTAGGGCTCTTGAATCGTGAATGGTAGTCTCGGACTTTAGAGGTCAGCTCACGGAAGGAGCACAGAACCAACACCCCACTCCGCTCCACTCACAGGAACTCAGCAGGGAACGTAGTTTAGACCTAAGAGGAAAGTGGCATGCAGGCTAAAGAAAGTGCTGGTCTCACCGTTGCTGTCTTTCAAAACAGGAATCCTCACCGTAGCTTGGTAATCAAGAAAAGGCAAGAAACTTGGGCAGCAGGTTGTTTAGCTAAGTGAGGTACATTTATGGCCAATTCAGCAATTGCCCACTGATGTCAGACTCACCTGGCTGCTGAGTGATTTCTTGGGTGTGTCCTCTTACATTTGTTTCATGTGGTTCATGTGCTCCAGTTTTTCTTTGGTCACTTGTAAGTAAGATGGGTTTCTCCGTTACTCAAGGACAGATACTTGGGGGTACAGTTAATAAGGTTTTCCTTTTCCATACAACTGTCTTAATGACCATGCAGGTAGGATTACCATGGAGTTCTGGGTACCTGTCTTTGCCTCCTGCATATCAGGTAGCTGTTGGTCTTGGTAATCGATCAGAGATGCCCCTTTTGACCCACTCTTGATAGGATGTACTGGTCTGACTAGCCTTCACCTTGTCGGCAGCAGTGTCATTTCCTGTCCTTTTTATCGGGGTGACATCCAGCTCTTGCTTTACCATATGACTCCCTGTCTACAGTGAATGTTTCGGCTTCCAGAGTTTTCACTAAAGAAGCAGGACTTGGAGTGTGGGTAAGTGGAGTGCTGGTTGTTTGGGGCTCATGCTCCTTTGAGAGGCCTCTTTGTCATCTCTGCCACCCTCCAGGACCTTGGCTTAGCCTC